GCCACAGCTGCTTCAACTCCTTCTCCAGACGTGACGGGAGACCAGGGTACATGCTGCTGCCGCCTGACAGCACAATGGCCTTGTACAGCGATGATCTCACGTCCACATCGGCCGCCTGGATCGTGTTGAACAGGAATTCGGCAATACCGGGCTGTTCGCAGTCCACCAGGTGAGGCTGGAACATGCACTCTGGCGCCTCGAATCGCTCGCTGCCCACTCTAATGACACGGCCGTCGGGCAGCGTGTAGCTCTCCACCAGCACCGTTGTGTCCTCGCTCAGGCGCTTGTCCAGCTCCAAGTCGTACGAGACGTAGCAGAGCTTCTCCTTGATCTGACGGACAGTCTCGAAATCGGCCGTTCGGTTGAGCGCGTAGCCGCGGCGCAGGAGGAGCGCAATGAGGTTGCGCGTGACGTCTCGGCCCGCGACATCTAGTCTGCGGGTAAGGTGGTTCAGGACGACCGACTCGTAAACGGGCACGATGTGGGTCACGCCGTCTCCCGAGTCGACGACGACACCGGAGCTGAGACCTGTAGGGAGCATTCAAGGTCAGCCTCGTTGCATATTCTCGCTCTCTCTCTCTCTCTCTCTCTCTCTCTCTCTCTCTCTCTCTCATCCAAGTCGATGGTAGCTAGTGTGGTCAACATACCTTGGGCGTACAGGGCCAATACGGCCTGGATGGCAACATAGACGCCGCCGAATCCGTAGCGGTCAAACATGACCTCGCACATCTGCTCACGGTTCCGCAGCGGGTTCATCGGGGGCTCGGTCAACAAGATCTTGCGGCCGCGCGGGTCGACCTTCATCTTTTCGAAAAAGGTGTAATCCCAGAGATGCTGCATGTCATCCCACTTCTTGACGATACCGTTCTCCATGGGGTAGCTGATCTGAAGCATCGTCCGGGCGGCGGCGGCTTCGTCACCGCACATGATATCCTTGATAACCAAGTCATTGTCCTCGCCCTTTTCTTCGGTTCTCAGGATCGGTCGGCCGACAATGGATGGGTATTGAAATTCGGGGAAGTTCTGCGCTGCGTAGCCGACCTTGAGGAAACCTGTTCCTCCGTCGAGGACTGTGGATCTTGCGTCAGCCACCTCCCGAACAGAGAGCATCAACTGCTGGGGAAAGCGGTCACAGGCATAGCTATGCAGCCGTAGCTGCAGTATCAGGGGCATTGCATCTTACCGATGGGGGCCTCGGCTGCCATTGTGAAAGCAGAAGCTGCAGGCTTTCGAGATTGGAGCTTCTTTCGATTTGGGGGAGAGGTGAGGTGAGGTGAGGTGTGGTTGGGAGAGCGTCCGGGAAGCTGTTACGTCTGTGTCGTCGATAGTGGGGTTGGGCCAAGTCCACTGCCTCCCAGCTGTCCTGCCACTGGATCGTCAGCCAGGTCGTGGCTGAGTACGTAGGTGCGTGTCACGTGATACCCCGCAGCCAGCGGTCGTCACGGTCCATGACAGTGGACTCCAGTGCACTGTCACTGAAAGAAGTGGTGCTGAAGGACCTGGAGGAGCCGTAGTCGGCTCATTCGGTGCACTGGAACCCAGCGTCACCGGGCCGGCAGCCCCACCTTGACGGGAGAATCTCCACTCGTTGAAGGCCGCTGGTCGGCGGGACCATGATGATTCACGCGCTTGAGGGGTGAGTAGCACAGTTTATTTGACGTTCATTCTCACAAAGTGTCGACCATCTCGTAAGGAACAACCTTTCTAGTCACATTTTCTGCACAGTCATAAGGCAATCATGGCAACTCGTCTCCTTCGTCGGAATATCAAGATCCTCGTGATCAACGCCAACTCGTCAGAGGATATGACGAGGGGCATGGAGAAAGCCATACAAGCAATGCCCTTGCACGATGTAAGTCAAAATGAACCAACAGGCTGGACACGGCGGCCAAGTCACAACCACAAATGATCGAGGGCTGACGTCCCTCTTTCTGTGTTAGTCGCTCGAAATTCACACATACACAGCACCACCTGCCAGTCCAGCAAGCATCAACGATGATGCCGACATCAAACTGAGTACTGAGGTCGTCATGAACGATCTTGCCAAGAGTGGCAAGCTCCAAGACTTCGACGGTGTGCTCGTCGCATGCTATAGTGTCCACACCTTGGTTGAGCAGCTTTCTCAGCAGTTCCACTCCTCGCTGGCCGTCACCGGTATCTTCGAGGCCAGCATCCTGACTGCGACTTCACTCTTGCCTCACAGCTCTGACCCTTCTCTCGCATCCAAATGGGGTGTTGTCACGACTGGCGAGTTCTGGGAGAAGCACCTCAGCCAAGGCGTGAAGGGCTACCTGGGTCAATCTGAGCAATCAGAGAATGTCAAGTTCGGGGGCGTTGCGTCGACTGGCTTGACAGCTGGAGACTTCCACCACGTCAGCCCGGCTGAAGTCAGGGTCAAGCTGGAGCAAGCGACCAAGAAGCTGCTAAGTAGCGGAGATGTGCGGTGTGTGGTTATGGGATGTGCAGGTATGGCCGGGCTCGAGGAGATCATTCGCAGCTCAGCCAACGACGTCTATGGTCCAGAGAAGGGCAGCCAGGTTTTCATCGTGGATGGTGTCAAAGCTGGCATTTTGCAGCTCGAGCAAACTGTCAGAAGCAGACGCTTGTTCCAAAACTGATTGATCTATTAATAATACCCATGCTATTGACACCCATTCCCAACGCCGTACCTTTTATCGCTCTATTCAAACCATTGAAACACTACAAGAAGCAAGACACTGTCTTAGTCGAGCCGTCTAGTGCGTCCCCAGACTTCGTCTGCGTCCTTCTTGCCCCGGGTTTCGGGCACCTTCACCGAAACAAACAGGGCAAAAAGTGCAGCGAAGCCGGCGAAGAGGAAGTACACCCAGCCAGCTCCTCCGAGCCAATTGTTGAAGGCATTATTGACGATCGGAAAGAACTGAGCAACCAAGAAGGTCGCGACGTAGTTGGATCCCAGGGACCAAGACTGGACGGCGCCAACAGCCTCTTGTCCAACCATTTCGGACGCGAGGATGAAAGGAACCGGACCAAGGCCAACGGCGAAAAATGCTACAAATGACACGACTGACACGGCTGACAGGATCTTGACCCCAAACTGGATAGAAAGAGCAAGAACCAGCGAGCTGATTCCCTGTCCAATGATGGAGATCAGGATGCAGGTCTTTCTTCCGAGCTTGTCCGGCAGCGGAGAGCAAGCCGCAGTCGTAATGAGATTGATGACAGAAATCAAAATCGTCAGTAGGGCAGAGCTGACGGGCAACAAGTCGTTCAGGAGAGATACCGAGTACATGATGACAGAGTTGATGCCACACAGCTGCTGGGCAAACATGATGCCGATAATAGCGGCGATAGCAGGTCGGTGAAGCGGGTCTTTGATCACGTCGAAGAATCCAAGATGGACAGGCGAGGTGTGCTTGGGCAGGCCAGGAGACACTGGCGGCACGTCGTCGCTCTGGGCCAAGAGACCCTCTTGCTCAGCGTTCACTTCCCCATCCCAGCTCTCGACTTCCTCTCTGATGTCGAAGTCCTTGCCACGGATACGCTGCAGAGTACGGCGAGCCTTCGGGACGTCGCCGTTGGCAGCCAGCCACGCCGGGCTCTCAGGAATCAACATGAGGCCGGAAGCCTGTGCCAACGCAATGAAGACGCCGGCAGCCAAGATCCAGCGCCAAGCCTTCCCGTAGCTCAGGAAGAAGCCCAGAGTTTGGACGGCAAGAATGCCCACGTTGATGGAGACCTGAGTCATGGCACCAAACAGACCACGCTCCTTTGGCGGCGCGATTTCACTGATGTACAGCGGAACAATGACGGTAGACGCGCCAGCCGCCATACCCGTGAAGAATCGGCCGATTGCAAGAGCAGCAGCACCTCCAGCGAGGGTTTCGATGATGGCACCGATAATGTATAAAATGGACGTGACTCGCATAGCAGGACGTCGGCCGCGCTTCGAAGACAAGGGGCCGGCACAAAGAGCACCGAGCAGGCCACCGACAGTGAAGATGGAGGAGACGGTCGCGAAGACGGCGTCGGACATGGGAATACACTCGGGGAGCCAGGGCTCGGGGTCCGGCGCCTTCGAGTGCACCCATGTAAGCTTCACTCCCTTGGCCGCAATTGACTTCTTTCGACAGGTAAGGACATCTTGAGGGGCGTTGAGCTCGGCCTGGAAGAGAGGCACAGCGGGTCAGCAAGTCACGTTTCGTGATTAAGCAAAACGACGTTGGAGCGGAATGATGCAATGACATACAAGGTGGAAGCCGAACTGCAGGGGGCCCAAAGTCGAGACAGAAATTAAGACAAGCAAGTATAGGCTGACATCGTGCATGCACTGTCGAAGACCCGAAGGAGCCATGTTGGCAAACGACGCTGGATGGTGCGAGGTTGTGTGTGTCGTCTAAAGTAGCTCGGGATTGTGTGAAGACGGTGGTTTGTGTTTGGGGCAAGTTGAATCAGTTGAGAACAAGGAACCTGCCTCGTTCGAGAGGGGGGCAGTCGGGACGACAAAGCGAAGTTGGGAAAGCTGGGGAAGTCGCCGGTGGTCATGGGGAAGCTGCCCACATGCCACAGCTGCCACAGCTGCCACACGTCGCTGTTACGCATTTCAGCGCCGCTAGCAGCCACAGTCCCTGGCACGCCGCGCTGTTCCAGGATCCGCGAGCGGGCCGGGATCCGGTTCAGTAACTAAGGTACATTTCCTAGCGCCGTTTTTCGCTGCACTCTCAGGTACCTGATCATTCATCGCATAAAGCTATGCCTCCAGGCTGATGAGTCCATATCTTATGAAGCATTCGATGCCAATGTTGAAATCATGAGGTGGTTTTTGATCGATCTCTTTCCCAATGAATCGATTTTACTAATGTATCTTTAAGAAGTAACATTCAGTTTGTCCAGCATGATACATAACCTGGTAAACATAAGCCTCTCGGGAATCAATCTATTCTTGACCTTCACAATCTGGATTTAGAAACTGTTGGATAAAAGAGTTTAAAATTAATTGTAGTCTGTTCCACGCTCGAAACTCATTGAATCTTACCCAGTGATCTCTTGACAGCGATCTCTAAGCTCTCAACGTCGTTTGGTCCAAGCCCGATCCTCTCATTGTCAGTCTTGTCGTACAAAGTGCCGCCCTCAGCCCAGATGCGTCGCAAGGTAAAGATGGTGGCGTAAGGGATGCCCTCAGCCCAAGCCTTCTCCTCAGCTTTCTTCAAGGTCTCCAGCGACGAATAGACGATTTCCCACTTTTCTCCAGTCTGCTTCTCGTACTCGGCCACAATTTCCTTGCCGGTCGCCACGAAGGACTGAACTTTGAGAGCTCGGTTGAAGGATGCCTCGGGGTGACGAAGCGATGCCACCAATGTTGTACCAACGCTTTGAACACTCAAGTCAGTACTGGGGGACACGGGTAAGCGTGTGGAATTGAAAACGTACTCTTTCATGGTGATAAGACCAGTCTTCCCTTCGCCGTCTTCAATCAGGACTGCCTTACGGGCAGCTGTGTCAAACCCGCCAGCCTCTTGCGCAATCGACGGCAAAGTCAAGAACATGTCGACGTAAGGGCCCGTTACCAGGTACGTGTACTTGAGTCTCTGAACACTCTCGCGGATGTACTTGCGCACCTTGAGCTTGGCCTGGTGAGGCTTCTCATTGGGGCTCTTGGGACCGTATTCGATATCCGTTCCGTACTCGGAGGGGAAGAACCATTTGACAGAGTCGGTCTCCTCGGCCAATTTAATGAGATCGATTTGCTTCTCAATCACATTTCTACCCAGCGCAGATATAACGGTATCGGCATCCTTGTAAGCCGCCTTGATTTGCTCCGTGTCGTCGACATCGCCGGCGATGATCTTCAGTCCCTTCTTCTTCCAGCCATCGAGCAAGTCTGCTTTCCTCTCCACTGTGGTCGGCGATGTGAAGATGGTAATTTGGTCAAAAGAGGGGCTGGCATCTAGCAATGCCGCTGTGATGAAAACACCAATCTGGCCAGTCGCGCCGAACACCAAGATTTTGGATGCTTTGAAGGTAGCCATGATGTCGTGTTACGAACGAATACGACTTATTAGTGTAGAAGATATCTGGTTGTTGTAAAGGGTCTCCAAGTCCTGGAAGTGAGTGCCTGTGGCCGGATGTCTGGTTCTTATAGCTTCAAGTGTATTACAAAACACAGAGCGATAACGGCTCAATGGTTCACCCCACTGAAACTACTAGACACATGCAAGCTGTGCTTCGACCCCTCGAGTCTGACGCCATCTCAAGGTGCGCTTATGAGATGGAGGGGCATTGGGGGAAGCAATGAGGGGAACGGATGCGAGAACCGTCGAGCCCCACGCCGTTCATCTCGCCCATTCACACTCCCTCAAAGAGACAACAGGCTGTGAAGAAGCCGAATGTAAGCGGTCTTTGGAACCGGGCTTCTCCACCACAAGCAACCATCTTGTGTCTCCGAACTCCGGTAGAATGAAACTTTGTCTCTGGTGATCCCGGATTCAACTGGAAGCGAAATGTTCGGATGAGGCACACCATTGAAGCCCAGCGAGATTCCCGACTCCGACCGGACCGGGTACGTACTCCTCAAGGCCCCACCATGTTAGGTATCCCTGTCGGCACGGTGTTTTCTGAGAGGACAACGGACCCACACGCGGGAGACGGGCAACCCCACCACCGATCGGTGAAGTTTCCCTAGAAATTTTTTTGAAGTTCAACCTTTTTTTTTTTGGTTCGACAGTCGGGATCGCAGCTACCTCGCGACCCGCCGGGCGAGATTCGACGACGACAACACCCCAACCACGAACCGCCGAGCAACCCCCCAAACCGCAAATATGGCGTCTACCGACTCACCAGCGACCAATGGGCACAAGTCCGACAAGAGGAGCAAAAAGGACAAGAAGGAGAAGAAGCGTCTGCGCGAGGAGGGCGACGATGCCGCCGAAGAGCGCAAGCACAAGCGCACAAAGAGCCTCGGTGTAGCCAAGAACGACGCCAACGACGAAGAAGAAGAAGAATCTCCTCAGGCTTCACAGGAACTCTCAATGGACGCCGCCGCGACGAGCAATACCAATGGCGAGCCATCATCCGCAAAGAAGAAGTCCAAGAAGGACAAGCACAGAAAGTCAGTAGGCGAGTCCGCCGAACAAGACGGTTCGGATGCCGAGCGCAAGGAGAAGAAGGACAAAAAGAAGAAGCGTAAGTCAGAACAGAAGGAGTCAGCGCAAGCAGTCGAAGATGCCGCAGAGCCGCCAGCGAGCGAAAACAAGGAAAAGAAGAGCAAGCAAGCCGCGTCCCCCGAAACCGTCGCCGACGCAGATGCCGATGCCATGGACGTCGACTCCCCCGCAAAGACGAAATCAACAGGCCGAGTCCACCAACCCCCCGACGCGCCCTCCAAACCCCAGTTCCCCTTCTACACCCAGACCGTCTCGCTATACCTCCCCATCTACCCCATAGGCTGGGACACACCCTGCACCGCCGCCGCGACGCAGCACCTCGAGCCCCTCGTGAACCGCTACGTCCCGGACCTCAAGGGCGTCCTCCTCGCCTTCCGCAACGTCGCCGTCTCGGAGCAGCCCGGCCGCCGCTACGCCGCCAAGAGCGACTCGGAGCACTGCGACCTTACCTCCGTCGACGAATACGCCGTCGGCTTCGGCTACGTGACCGTCGACGTCGACCTCTTTGTCCCTCGCCGCGGCGCCTGGATGGAAGGCAGCATCAACCTTGAGAACGAGGGCCACGTCGGCGTCGTCTGCTGGGGCAAGTTCAACGCCAGCATCGAGTCCAGCCGCCTCCCCCCCGAATGGCGCTGGGTGCACGCCGGCTCAGCCGAGGCCGCCTCCTACGTGGCCGACCCCTTTGACGTCGAGAACACCGAGGCCGCCGCCGAGGACGAGCATGGTGCCGTGCGCCAGATCCACACCACGGGCTTCTGGGTCGACGGCGCCGGAGACAAGGTCAAGGGCCGCGTGCGCTTCCGCATCAAGGCGTTTGACGTCGGCGTCAGCGGCGACCACGGGTACCTCAGCCTGGAGGGCACGATGCTCGACGCCGCGGGCGAGAAGGCGGCGATCCAGCGCGACGCAGAGCAGGAGCGCAGACGCAGAGCCGGTAAGAGCGGCGGCATCCTCTCCAAGGAACGGCGTGCCATGCCCGAGTTCAGCGTCACCAAGTTTGGCGAGGTCGAGGATGAGGAGGACAAGGCGTTGAGGAACGATGTGTGGAAGACGACGGAGCCCGTGACGGATAATGAGGCGGGCGCAGATGGCGAAAAGGAGGCGTTTACGGGCATTTCGACGGAGGAGGCATAAGAAGGGGGGGCTTTGTAATAGATAAGCTTTGCTCTCTGTGTCTTATGATTCCCCGTGGGTCGACTTTTCGGGCGTTTTGAGGGTCAGGGAAAATTTGACAATGATACAATACTTTGCATATACTTCAGGACCGCGAGCTACTCGCTCTGACAAACGGTTGGCTATGAACGAGCACAAGTAGTGCAGTGAAAATGATCTGCGAGGCAATAGGATTCAATTGGGATGCTAGCCGTTGGCCTAACAGACTTGCAGAAAACTTGGCCCAGAACTACACGCCCCAGAGACATGTCGCCATACCTTGTCCTTTCCAGAGTCATTAATATGCCTGGCTTCAAGCGTTAAAGCTTGGCCCATAATCGAAATCCCTTCCCAAACCCCAGGAGTCATTTCCAAGTCATTCCCAGCCCCTGGAGGAAGGAGAAGAGAGACCCCTTGGGAACGTATCCGGCATATCGCGCCTGCCACCAGGAGGCAAAGGTATCTAGATTGATATTCTTAAGAATTTGATCGATGAAAACGAAACGGTGGCATGAGATTACAAGACTTACCGGCAATAGGTCCAAGTTCGCCAAAGCCAAGGGCCTCAATAACCCAAGGGGCAACGATAACCAACACGCCAATGGCGATGATGGTAACAAAGACGGGATGCTCCTTGGCAAACTCGAACACGCTGTCAGCAGCTTCGGTCGACTTGTCCACAGTCTCCCGCACGACTTGGCCGATGGTGTCGCGGTGGCGGACGAGGCCTTCGACGCCGGAGAGGATGTACTTGGCGAGCTCTTCGGTCCAGGAGTTGACCGTGACGATGTTTCTGAGACGGCGCTCGAGGTCTTTGCCTCCCTTTTCGGCGGTGCGGAGGATATCGATGAACTCGGAAGCGGCGTCCTGGGCAGACCGAATGGGTTGGTCTTTGATGATGCTCGTCTGCTTTTCGGGCGTGATTGGCTTCGGGTCCGCATGGAACTGCGGGAGGCAGTGGGCGAGGAGGTTGCAGTTGTCCTTCTTGTCGTGCTCCATCTTGGTGTCTTTTGTGAATGCAATCGTTTCAAGAATGCGAAGTTTGCGGATACAGAGCCAAAAAGATCGCTGTGTGTGAGAGAAAGAAAGATACGATTCTCCTCCCTTAAAGGTCGCGAGATGATCGAGAGAGACAGCCTTGCCGCTGTTATTGCAATTTCACTAACGAATGAACGGGATGAGACAAGGGCTCAACTCGAGCTCACCGCGCCTCCTCATGGTTGGCCTCCCACATGGAGTCCGCCCTGCTCATTCGTTCATATGCCGCCCGTTGGTTCAATGCAACTCACCTGCGCAATTGTTGGGCTCAAAAACACATGAACCAACAGCTCGTGCTCCAAACAATCTTGGATCGGAAACCTACCCGTAATCTAGAGAGCAGCTTCTTTCCATCTCTCTGTTGCACCAATTCAATTATCCTTCAACTGATGATGTAGCCGGAGCTAAGTGGGGAGGTTGAACCCGATTCGCGATGCTTTGCTCCCACTAATATACGAGGCGGCATATGCGAACCCCTACGATTCGATCACAAATGTATTTGATAAATACATAGGAGAGGATGATAGGGATAGAAAGCAACACGATTAACCAACTAGCGCACTGGAGACACCTGATAGAGGTCAAGCTTCTCATGAATCAAGTGGGCAGCACTTCTAGAGTTGAAGAAAGAGAAAATATAGATTTCTTCAACTCGTATTATCTCATGCTTGCTATGGCCCTCGAGTGCGACTAGGCGGGTCATGAAAGCCTCAAATTGTAGCCAAAGAGCCTTCCCATGATTCAAATCCAAGTCATTTCAAGCCACTGCAAGATAGAGAACAGAGAGCCCGTCGCAACGGCCGAGCCTATTGGCGCCTGCCACCCTGCCGCGGAAGAACCTTGAGCGGGCACTGCGTCAGAGTTTACCGTAAGGTAGAGAAGACGGAGGAGTCATCTGCTGAAAACCTCACCAGCGACAGGTCCAAGTTGTCCAAAACCGAGGGCTCGCATCACCTAAGGGGAGACAACGGCCAGCACCACTCCGCCGACAACTAGAGCGACGAGGTACGGGTGCTCCTTGTCGAATTCGAGCATTATCCTGCCCGCTTTGATCGCTAGGCCCAAGGCTTCTTTCAAGAGCTCGGTGACGGTATCGCGCAGACGCACGAAGACTTTGACGCTGCGGCGGATGTAGTTGGTGATCTTCTTGGTCCGGGATTCGGCCGTCATGAGATCTACGTGGCGGTGCTCGAGGTGCCTGTCTCCTTTCTCCGCAAGGCGAAACATGTCGCTGAATTTGGGAGCTGAAATTGTATCTCTTCCTAGTCCTATCTTGATTGTTGCCATTGCAAGAATGATCGTCGGACTGCGTGTAGGTTTGGGTTATCAAGAACGATTTACGACTATCTCGGTTGCTTCTTCTTGATATGTTTGGAACATATTGAAGAGGCAATTCATGATTTATTGTATCTCTCTCTAGCAAGCAAGCGAGAATTATCTTCGAACGTTCACTTAGAGTTCAATCTCTGGCAGTTGATGATAGGCCTCCAGTAGGCCTCCAGTAGGCCTCCGAAGCATATCCTTTACACCTCTGGCCATCAGAGCCTAAGTAACTCTAAGTCTGGACTCTCATTTTTGAACTTGGAGCTTGAACTGGAGGCAATATTGAGCCATTAACATGTCTTCCCTATCTTAATCTTACTTTCGTTCAATCACATTTTCACATTCGATCGCCC